CCGCCTGCGCGGCCTCCGGGGCTGCTGCTCCTGCGCCTGGCCGCGGCCCGCCTGGGCCTCCGCAGCGTCCCTCTCGGGCGCCTCCCGCCGGCCCCGCGGCGCCTGGGTCTGGCTCTGGGGCTGGGGCTGGCGCTGCTGGAGCCCGCGGCGGCCGAGGAGAGGCGCGCGGCCTCAGCCTGCAGGGACATCCAGGTGCGGCCCCCTTGCCTGGGCGACGGGGTTGCCTTGGCAACGGGCCAGCCCCTCCCCTGAAGGAGGGGGCGGGGCCAGCCCTACGTCACGTGGGAAAGGGGGAGCAGCCCCCCCCAATTTGGCCCACAAGGGAAAGCCCCCCCAAAGCCCCTCAGAGACGCCCCTCTTTTCACCTGGTTTCCCCCCCCCCCCAATTCTCCTCCTAGGGAATATATTTTACTTGTGTTTTTCCAGCTGTTTCCACCCGATGGGCCCCCAAAGAGATGCAGGGCAGGAGAAGGGGAGGGGGGGGGCTGCACACCTCTGACAGCAAACCCCCCCCCCTCACTCCGTAGCCCTGGTGGTGTCCCCCAGTTGGGTCATGAAACGTCTGCAAGGAAACCGCCAAGCTCAGAGAGCACCAAGGAAACACCCCCCCCCCCCCCTTAGACAGAGGCGGCTGAAAGGCCAAAGGTGGAGCAGGGGGTCTCCGCTGTAGCCTTGAGGGCCTCGGAGGGAGAAGGGAGCCAGGGCTCCCCCACCCCTCTCCCGTCTGCCCAGAAGCCCTTGGGATGCTCAGAGGCTTCTGTGGTGGCTGCTCTTCTTTCCAGACCATCTTCCTCCCGAGGAACAAGCCCCCGAAGGACCCCCTGGGATTGTTAGCCCGGCGAGGCTTCAGCCTGGAGGACTATTTCATCGGCCAGTCGATCGGCAAAGGCTGCAGCGGGGCCGTGTATGAAGCGGCCGCTCCTGCCGAGCCCCCCGGGGACGGAGGTCGGGGGCCCAAGCGGAAGGAGGGCGCTGGGGGCGCCTCGGAGGCCCAGGGGGCGGCAGAGGCCGAGGGCTGGAAGGAAGGATTTCCGCTGGCTATCAAAATGATGTGGAATATTTCGGTAAAGAACCCGGTTTTGGTGGCTTCCCTGGCGGTTGGTTTGAAAGGAACCCCCTGCCCTTAGGGAGACACGGGGCTGCAACGGCATCGGGCTGGAAACCAGGAGACGGGGGAGCGCTCGTCCGGCCTCAGCTCCGAAAGCCGGCTGGGTGACTTTGCCCAGGAGACGGGGAATTCTAGTCCTGCCTTAGGCACGAAAGCTGCCTGGAGGACTTTGGGCCAGTGCCTCTCTCTCTCGGCCAGCCCACCTCGCAGGGCTGTTGTGGGGGGGGGGAATATAAAGGATGTAAAAAATAAACGTCTCTCTAACCGGGGTCTTGATTTGCTTCTGGGTTTTCCAGGCTGGTTCCACGAGCGAAGGCATCCTGACCACCATGTCTCAGGAACTGGTCCCAGCCAGCGGACGGGCCCTTTCCGGAGAGTTTGGGGCCGTTGCCAGGCCCAGGTAGGAGGTGGCCAATCCTGGTGGACTCGGCAGGTGGAGAGGAGTTTGTGGGCAGCAGAGGGGACAGAAAAGAGACGGTGGTTCTGCAGTCCGACCCTGACTGTCGCCTCCCAACAGGGGAGGCCTCTGTGGGAAGAAGTGGCTGAAACCCCACCCCAACGTCATCCAGGTGATCCGGGCCTTCACCTCCCAGGTGCCACTGCTGCCGGGCGCCACGGTGGACTATCCGGACGTCCTGCCTTCCTCCCTGAGCCCCTCCGGCATTGGGCACAGCCGCACCCTCTTCCTGGTGATGAAGAAGTAAGCGGACCGAGACCACCACCACCACGTGGGCAGGGAGAGGGGTGGCGGGTGGGGACGGGCTGAGCGGCTGGGGGGGACGCGAGGGGAGCCTCCCCGCAGCCACCGGGGCCCAGGGAGAGGGGGCGGCCTGCAGCACGGGGGCCAATCAGGGCAGGTGGCCTTGTGGCCCCCTTGAAAGGCAGCGTTGGGACATCCAGGTGGGTTTTGCACCTGGAGGCTCCGGTGGGCTTCTTCCCTCGGGAGCCCCTGGGCGGAAAAGCAGGAAGGCAAAGGGGAAATAGCGAATTTCTCAGCAGGTAAATGAGGATCTTTGTCCTCAAGGATCAGCTCCACAGGCGGGGGGGGGGGGGGGGGGGGGGGATGAAGGGTTGGGGAAGTTGCCAGCATGGAGTTCAGCATCCTGGACAGAGCCCAGGAAACGGCTCTCTCTCTGGGCTGGACATTGAAACAGGGCCCGGTTGCCTGATTTCTAAAAGGCCCCCACGTGCATTGGGGGGGGGGGGTTGTATGGAGGCCTGCAGGGAGCTTTGGGCTGAAGCCTCCCCCCCCTTCAGAATCCCTCAGCTGAGCCCCTCCAAGAAGGTTTGGCCTCCTAGAGAAGCCCGAAGTGGGAGGTCCAAAGGGGGGGGGGGTGTCTCTCAGCCTTTGAAATGCCTTCCTGGGGGTCAGGAGCCAGATTGGCCCAGCGTTTCCTCCCCTGGGTCCCATTCGGGGAGGGGGGGCTGATTTCCCAGCGGGAAGCCTGTCCGGCTGAGGCCGCCTTCCTCCCCCTTGCTCTGCCCAGCTACCCCTGCACCTTGCGTCAGTTCCTTTCCGAGGGGCGCCCGGACCCCTGCGTGGGGGCCCTGATGATCCTGCAGCTGCTGGAAGGGGTGGATCACCTCGTCCGGCAGGGAGTCGCTCACCGGGATCTCAAGTCAGACAACATCCTGGTGGAGTTCGACCCGGGTGCGTTGGGCTTTTGAGCCGATGGAGGTGGGAACCCCCCGGGGGGGGCCCTTCTACCCCCTATTTACCCCACGGAGGCTGGAGTGTGTCTCCCCCAGGGCCCCCTTGGGTTGGGTGGGAAGGAAGGGCGTTCGCTCAGCAGCCGCCCTCCCCCCTCTCGGCCCTCACAGCAGGCTGCCCAGGGCTGGTCATCACCGACTTTGGCTGCTGCTTGGCTGACCAGCGGCTGGGCCTGAAGCTGCCCTTCCCCAGCTGGTATGTGGATCGCGGGGGCAACACCTGCCTGATGGCGCCTGAGGTAACTGGGGGGGGGGAGAGGAGGAGCCCTTTCCCCTCCTAAGGAAATATAGAAAGAGGGGAAGCGGCGGAGAAGGAACGAAAAGGGAAACAAACGCCTGGGAGCAATTTTAGGGCCTGGGAAGGTGGAAGCTGCGTATTCCGTATTTCCACCCCGAGGGACGTTTGGATGGAGGCAGCCGAGGGCTGGATGAGCTCCCTTCGTCCCACAGGACCTGGGCTCCGTCTTCTGAGAGGCCTGAAGGGGATTGGGGGTGGGGGGACGGCTGCCTCTCAGAGGTCGCTCTCTCTCTCTCTTAGGGGCTCCACCCACCCACCCACCTCCAGGGCAAATGCAGGCGGAGGCTGCCGTGCTTCAGCCCTGGGGGGGGGGGGCACTTTGAGACTTCAACTCGGTGCCTTAGAGGGCAGCCCAGGGGGAGGGAGGGGGAATTGGCCCCACTCCTCCCCTCTGGGGACGCCTCTGCCGTCCCCCTCAGCTCCTGGCCAGGAAGCCTCTTCAGGGAGCCTGCTGGGCTGGGGGCCTGCGCATCCCCCAAAGCCACAAGCCCCACAGAGGAGGGGCAGCTGGAGGCTCTGCCCTGCAGGCAGCCTGGGTCTGGGTCTGCATGGCTCTTCGCCCCCTGCCCAACAAGGGGGGCTGGGAAAGCAAGTGGCGATGCCGCCAATTAAAGTCACACACCCCCAGATCCCGTGGGTCTCTTTTTCCTGAGCCTCCCCCACTCCTCCCCCCCCCCCCCAGGTGGCCACGGCCGTGCCAGGCCCAGGCGTGGTGATCGACTACAGCAAGGCGGACGTCTGGGCCGTGGGGGCCCTGGCCTACGAGATCCTGGGGCCCGGGAACCCCTTCTACGGCCAGGGGGGCCCTGCCCTGGACAGCCGCAGCTACCGGGAGGAGGAGCTGCCCCCCTTGCCTGCCCCGGCAGCCCCGGAAGTGAAGGAGCTGGTGGGGAGGCTCCTGAGGCGGAACCCGGCCAAGGTGGGAAAGGCGCCTCTGTCGCGGGATCATTGCGGGGGGGGCATGAGAGCCAGGAACCTGAATCCGGTTTTTAAAAGCCTCCTACGGTCCCTGGGGGTGGGGGAGCTCCCCAGAGGGCTTCCCTGGGGCTGCCCCAGGTGGCCCCGAGATCCAGCCGGCCTGGGACTGACCTCTCCTCCGCTGCTTCCTTTCCAGAGGCCATCGGCCCGAGTGGCGGCCAACGTCCTCCACCTGAGCCTCTGGGGCGAAGCGGCTGTGGGCCGGCCGGGCCTCCCCCTCCCGCAGCTGGTGGCCTGGCTGCTCCGGCAGTCGGCCGCGGCTTTAATGACCGAGCGGCTGGGTGGCGGCCGAGGGGTGGTGTCCGGCTTGAAGAGGGGCTTCCTGGCCGGCCTGGACTACGAGGAGCTGTGCGAGGCGGCGGCCCTGCTCTGCTGCTGGAGGGGGGCGGCCTGTCCTGCCCCCCAGTAGAAGCGCCCCTCCCCGTGTGGGTGGAGGGGGGGGAGTGGCGTTTTCTGCCCAGGGTTTCATCCAGCTGGGAGGAGGCGGCTGGCAGTGGCCCCTTCGGAGGTCAACCGCAGCCGGGCTCCCCTCCTGGCCTCCCGCTTGGCCCAAGTAGCACCCGTGTTCCCGTGTGGTTTTGGGTTGCGTGTCATTTGAGCTCCTTTGCTTTCCCGTTTGAGCACCTAGGAAAAAGCCCAAAGGCCCAGAGCGCCTCCTCTCCCTCCCCTCCCCTCCCTCCCTCCCTCCCTCCCTCCCTGGCCCAGGACCCCAAAGGGGAGGGTGGATCATTGTTTACCAGGTGAGATAAACACCGGCTCACTTGTGGCTCTCCTGGGGTTGTTTTTTCCGGTAGAAAAGGCCGCCCTCCTCAGCGCCGGAGGTCTTTAGGGGAGGGGCTGCTTTTTGGGTCATGCAAATAAATCACCTTCACACGTGCAGAGTTGTGTGTGTGGTGCTTGGTGGGGGGAGGGTCTGCCAGTGATTGAAAGGCAGGTTTATTTTGATTTATTTTGTTGGAAATCCATGAGAAATTCTTCCTCACCCCCACCCCTCTCTCCCTCCCTCCCTCCTTTTCCAATCTTCCTTCCTTCCCTCCCTCCCTCCCTTTTTTTGGTGATGTGTCTAATGGTGAAGGCAGAAGGCCAAATGAGGGGATCAAGTTCCTAGCCCTGAATGTTTTCAGGTGGGCTGGCAGAGGGCCCTCAAGTGAGAAACGAAAGAGGCCACCTGAGATTTCTGTAGCCAGGGGAGGAAACCCAGCACTCTCACCCCCCCCCCCAGTTGAAGAAAAGGGGCCCATTATGGAGGCTGCCACGTGAGGGCTGTGCTGGGGGGCTGTGCCAGGGGGAGGGTCCCGAATTGCCCCCTTCTCTCTCTCTCAAAGCCTCCGATCCGTCCTGAGGGGTTGTTTTGGGGGAGGGGGCTCTCTCTCCTCCTGGGAAACTTCATTGGGCCTTTTCCTGCAAGGAAGAGCCAAGCCCCCCCTTGTCAGGCGGGTCTCTTCTGTGGAGGGGGCACCCACCCTGGTGGGGGGGGGGAGAGTGCCTGGGTGCTCCTGGGGAGTGGCAGCGCCTTTTCCAGGCAGAGCAGAAGGGACGTTTGTTTGAACCAGCTCAAATCCACATTCGGTTCCTCTCCAGGCCCTGAATCTTCCTCCTCTTCTGCCCTCAAAGGGCCACTTTTTTGTGGGGGGGGGGAAGGGGGGGGGACAAACCAGGGGCTGCTTCTGAGAGAGCTCCCTGCGGGTGAGGAAGTGACCCTGGGTGACCCTCTCAAATTAGACCTAGCTCCGGATGCGTCGCTTCTCTTTAAACCGGTTCTTTAAAGTGGCTTTTTAAAATGCCCGGTGGCCGAAGGAGGAGGAGGAGGACTTGATGGGCGTCCAAAGGGCCCCCTGGTTGGCCCCGTGCCAGGCCTGGGCGGCTATATTTCCCTGTCCGGTGGCTGGAAGGAGGCACGACTCCTGCCCTTTGGCTGCTGCGGGAGGGAGGGAGGGACCGCTTGGCACTTCTCCCAGGCAGCTGCCGAGGCTCTTCTCAGCCGCACCGGCCGAGTGGCGACATGACTGGTCCCTTGGCTGGCGGGGGCCAAGGCGTCCTCCGGGCCTGGCTCCTGGGCGTCCCACGCAGGGCACCAGCCGTGCGCTCCTGCTGCAGCCAGGGCCCCCCGGCCCTCCCCCGGCCCATCGGCTGCAGCCCTCCCGGGGGTCCTTTCCTGCAGGGCCCCCTGGCCAGGAGGCTGCCCTGCCCTCGTCGGGCCTCAGGCTCTGCGCCCAGCCTGCCCCCCAGCGCTGAAGAGGTAGCCCGGCCGGTGGGCGTCCGCTCCATGTTCAAGCTGCCCATGCGGGATTCGGCCGAAGGGCTGGATGCGGCCTTTGTGGGCGTCCCTCTGGACATCGGCACCACCCACCGTCCCGGGGCCAGGTAAGGGGGCTGTTCCTGCGGGGGGAGGGGGAGACCCATCCGGCAGTCCCAGGAGGGGGGTGGGGGGGGGGGCTTCCGGCAGGAAAAAACCTACATCAAATGGAAATGTGTTGGGCTGAGTTCAGCAGCCTCGCTTCTTCGATCGTTTTGCTGGCCCCCTTTCCTGTGGGTCAAGTGCCCCCCCCCCCCCCCCTCCCCCCCCCCCCCCCCCCCCCCCCCCCCCCC